ATACTCTATTACAAGTAAAAGTCCTGCTTTAAGTATCAAAAGTAAAATTAAATGTCAGTGTTATTTACTTTTTGTTCTACATAATGTATTACTGCATAGACAGCATTTTAATGTTATAGTGGGTAACAGTGAAGATCACTTAAACAACTTTATTTTGTAGTTTAATCAATAACAAAGCCTCAAATGTTATCTGATGACCACACCTTTTGTACATAAAACATTAATCCACATACAAGTACGACAGTTTCCCCACAGTGAGGTGTTAGGAGCAGAAAATGGAAAAACTCAAGTAGCTGAGTAACTGAATTCCACATATTTACTCATATTACTTCCACTATAACTTCTACTACTAATATTATTATGACATATTTTATGAATGTTGCTTTGTATCATATTCCCGACTTGTGAGTTGTATTGGTAATATTCTATAAATTAACTTATTTCAGCAATGAATTGTATGTATTATCGCTCTATATTCTGTTTAAATAAAACATTTGTGTGTCAGCATGAACCAAGGCTGAGTCCTTGCTGCGTGTCATTCCCACTTTCTCTTTCAGTGTTTAGGGTTCAGGGTTTAGGGTTTGCTGTTGGTCAGCTAACATCACCAACAAGTATGCTACTAATTTCTCACATCAATGATTCGTTTGTAACTTTAAACTTGCGTTCAAGGTGAGTAATATTGATGTGAGACAGTACCTGCTAACAATAGCTAACCTTAGTCTGTGGAAAACTGATTTTTAGAAGGTTAACCACCTCTGAACCGACACTATGAGGTTCTTCCACAGTGGCGCCCAAAAAGGTTCCTCAAGACTCTTCCACTTCTAAGAGTGTAGTCCGCACAGTAATATAATAATAAATGATTCATATGATTCAGTGTAGTTACTCTCTCTTTTCAGAGTAAAGTCTGTGATATATATATAAAAAAAACTACAACAATTTGTGTCCTTGATATTAAAAAGTTGGTGAAACCTTTGCGGTGGAGCACAGATCGAGTAAAGATCAAACTAAAGTGCTAATGAGTGTTTTTATAAGAGGAGGGGTAGTGTATGATCAGTATGGCTGTCTCACATGCCGGGCTGTCACACCACAGTCCAACAGAGGGCAAAGTGCAAGCTGCTCTGTGACAGTACAGTTGATCATGCTCTCTCTCTTGCTCTCTTTCTCTTCCTCCCTCCCCCTGTCGAGTCTCCACCTTGTTTTCTATATCAGTCACACACACACACACACACACACAGACTTTCACTCATCAGACTTGTTATTGCTCTGATTTTCACTTCTGGCTTATTGCACCATCAGCAAAGGTAAGACCACTTCCTCCTCCTGTTGTCTGAAAAGTCGAATATGTCTCCTGCTGCTGATTTACAGTACATTTATAATCTCGTCCCACGAGGCTGCTCACTTTTTCTCAGCCACTTCATTCAAGTAGGACAAACTGGACGTATTGTTTCTCTTTCCTTCAGCATCTGAAGTGTTAGTGCAGACCACCACTTTCAGTGAAACAAAGGAACATGTGATGGATCTCGATGGGGATTAATGGTCTCTGCAGATGCACTGAGAGGGGGGAGATTAGCCCACTGATCCCCAGGAGACGTGTTTTCCACTGGGATTCAGTCCATTTTAAGGGCTCATTTAATCTCGCATTAAGTCTTAAAAGCTTACTTTTCTTGGGACAAGTGAAACCCCCTGCCAGTGGGGGGTGTGATAATTACACTCATTACCAATGCAAATGAACTTCCTGCAACAAAAAAAAATGCCTTGAATGAAGTGACATGAGCACTGATTGATTGACATACTTTTGAAACAAGCAGAATAAAATGAGATTATCTCACCCTGCTGGTGGATTTCTTTATGAAAAAATAAGATTGTGTAACTCTAATCAGGAGCCTCAGTGGGGATCAGGTGGACTGAAGGGAGATTAGTTTACTGCTCTAATAAAAAGCTTTCAGGAAAGGGGGAAAAGAAATAGAGGAGAGGAGGATCTAAATGGACAAGACAGCTGAATTACCGACTGATCGACGGCTGTTTACTGCCGCACTCAAGAAGGCAAGGGGATGTTTTTCACTGCCAACAGCAGAGAAAAGACAGAAACAAAGATGGCTAATCCATTTCAGAATGCCTTCCTTTAAAATGGGAAATAGAGACTATAATTAGATGTGGCTAGTTTGAGCTCAAGGACTCTGCTAAACAGCTCTCCCTATAGCAACATGTATGTGTGTGTGTGTGTGTGTGTGGTTGAGTCACACACTTCCGTTTGTTTTGGTTCCTCAGGCGGAGCGCCGACAAATTTAGATTGCAGCAAGTATAAAAACGCTGAAAAAACACGCCAGAAATACATAATTGGAGAGTGAGTCGCTCATTAAGATTGTTCGCCCAACCCTGGCAACGGTTTCAGAGAGGAAACACTCGAAAACAGAAGTACATGAGGAGCGCGTGTTTGTACAGAAAAGAGAGAAGATTCTCATACATGTAACACAACAGGCCCACACACCACACGTGCACCATTTCAACCACCATATATGTGCTGGTTACTTCCAGTTTGTGGCACCAATTTGTACCAATTCGGCCTCAATTAAAGGTGCTGTTCAGCCCTCGGCAGCTTCTGGCCTGGCTCCTCCGTCGAGTGCCTGTGGGAAGCCAGTGAGGGATCAGGTCATGGTCATTTTTGTGGGTTCAATTGATTGTTCTGTTATCACTTGCCTTTTCCTCCTAAAAATTAAGAAATTTGGTTACTGGAATATTTCCTAATAAGTAAACTATTGTTTATTGGTACATTTTGGTGATTTATGGACATTGTTCTTTAAACTTTTTGTGCAAAAATATCAAAGCACATCTGTATTCATATCCATGCAAAACAGCCTCTATAACATGCGTTATAGTGCACTTTATAAACATTTATTATTATTTACTATTGACAACTATCACTAGTGAAATATTACATTAACAAAACAAAGCAGATTCATATTTAAACCTATTTAAATATAAGACATGGTCACAGAATCAAAGTGCAAGTGCTGATATAGAAAATAACAAATTAACTCATAACTGTTTGATATTACTCATACTGATTGTATATTGCATATTTTGTCACCTGATACACCTGTTTACGTACTCAGTGATAAGTATTTATACTCCAAAATGTATAATTCGGCTAGAAGAGAGAGGACTTAATATGAATAAATAAAACATTTTGATTGATTTAAATGAAATTTTGAACCTTGAAGCTCAACTCTGATCATGACTTTTGACTCTTATGACTCTGACTAGTCTCTTCTCTGGATTATGAAAATCAATAACTTATCTAATCCAAGGATCCTGCATCCTTTATTATTCTTTATACACACACTGCACTATGCACTATTGTTTTACCATATAGATGGACCTCTGTCTGACTGGAAAGCAACTTTTTATGTGTGCAAACAAACATTATGAGCCGTTATAACACAGTTCACAGGGTATTTAATTCCCTGTATCAGCACCCACAATGGGTCACCAACACAATGACTCATATCAAAGAGTTATAATAATCAGATGATCCTGACTGTGACTTTAAGAAGACCATATATCAGTTCTTTGACCCCGTTCTGGAGGTGTGACCTGTGACAGGATTAAACCTGGAGTGTGTTTTCATTCATGCTGCAGTGGTTCCCACATAGGTTATTCTCGTATGTTCTTCTGGTGAAAATGCTTTTTATCACTGTTTACTCTGCTGCAGTCACACGGTCAGGGTGAAGGCGAGGTTAACCACAGCTCACTGCGCACCGTCCTCTGTCTCCCATAGACATGCTCTATGACATGCATGTAATTGCCCCCGGCCCATATGCTAACACAGACCCCAGATACCACAGAACGATCCACTCCAAGGTTTACAGAGGAATGTGACAGCAGATCACATTCTTCAGAGAGTTAAAAGGTCAAAATAATAGTTTTTTGGTCATATAAAATACATTCAATGAGTGATCTGCCATTTAAAACAGTTAAAAAGTTCCAGAAATAATAATAATAATAATA